ATTCCACGCGGAATCGATTAATTGACAAGCGACCATACATTGAGAGAACATATCGTGGTATTTAAACGATTTTATTATATACGAAGATCTATCGTATATATAAGTATTTTAATGATATACGAAAGAAATTGCTTATAGTTGACAATAATTAAGATTAGCTTAGAAAAAAAGTCTATTCCGCTGGAAATTGTAAAACTTCTATTTACTTATGACGAGTTTACGAATAATCGCTATCAATTCGGTATAACACAACACACAACATGTACATATAAATTCATTCTTACAAATGGAAAGACCGCTCCTTACGATTGTACCAAACAGAGAAGGTTTTTGGAGACATTGTGAACCGTACCGTTTGCGACACGTCTTCAAAACAATGGTTAACAATCGGTACAATTTCGTTGAGTTTATTTAGATATCAAACCCGTACAGAATTATTAGTTTTATGCTTATTCGTGAATAGATGGAAGTGCGACGTTCGATACAAGGCCCTTTCTCGCATACCAATAACGTTGGAAATCGTACTCGGCGAAATGACACCGGTATTAAACCATGCTTTGAAACACGACCGATAATACAAACTGCGGACGCGAGAACCGATTATTGTTCTGACGGATCAACGCTCTGGCGAATGCGTTTACGGTTTCTCGCAATGTCGGAAGAAAATGATCGTAATATCGAGACACGACGACGACCGGCAACGCCGAGCATTTATGTGATTCTTAGCAGCACGTGGTATACCTTGTTATTGTTTGAGAATTCGTTTTCTTTTTTTTTTTATCGTTAGACAAATTAAAGTAATTTTATATATACGTAATATTCACGGTAAGAAGAGAACGTTTTAAAAAAAGGAAAGAGAAGGAAGAGAAAGAATTAAAAATAAATTGAGAATTTCGATCCAGCACGGTGAAATTTGATGGGCTTATGCTACAGTTCGATAGGCTGTTCGACCAGTCAACAAAGAAAGAGAAAGAGAGAAAGAGACGGGAATACTTATAAATTATTTATGCTTCAGCTTACATCGTTCGAAAATGCATCTTAGAATCATTTGCATTATTGTTGCCACATTCCAAAGCATATACGTTTCTTGAAAGTGAACTATAAAATCACGTACGAACTGTAGTTTTATTGTCCCAAATTATCACACAAAGCACACATAAATATATATAAATAACTATACAATTATATGTATTAATAATGTTACATATATGCATGTAATTGTATACAATTGTTTATGTATATATTAATGGAAAGTATATAAAAGTATATAAATGGTTATGTATGCTCTATAATTATATAGTTTTAACTATATGTTATAATTACATGTGTAGTTACAACTATATAAATATATATAGGTTTTTTTTATATACAAAAATATATTTTACGACAGAATTTTTCGAAGATCACAAAGCTGAAGATCATCAACACTTATAAAGTGCGCGTGAAACAATAAATGAATTAATTGTAAGAGAAAAAAGGATAACACGAGACATAGATTTTATAGCATCTACAATTTCATTAGTTTGTGAGTGTATATAGTAGTTCTATGAAAACAATATAATTTTTATCTATTTTTAAGTGTATAATTTTCACTGTCAAAAGGTGCCTTCTTCGTAAAATTTTCAGACGACATATCGTGTATAATAATAAATAAGCGACGGAGAGGCCTGAGGGAAAATCTCACATTGTAAATCATTATTCCCAAAAGATTGTTTCGATCCTCTTTGCGAAGTCGAATTCTTTGTGCAGTAAAGATTAAGTGTTATGAATATCTATAATCTATTGATATTAACATTTATAGATTATAATCTATTAATAGATATTCATATTGCGATATCGTATTGCATATATCGATTGCGATTTTACCACGCGACGGAGCTAATGGAGGAGATTGGAATGAATTATTGTCAAACGGTTTTTCTTACATTACTGTGTACGATCTAATTCATAGTTTGTGATAATAAATATTGTAATTATTATAGTAAGTTCTACGTAGTTTCTTCTCTTATTCGCAAACACTTTTCGCATAAAAAATTCCTTACACCCAGCGACGATAAGTAAAAATATCTATTTGGCAAAAATAATAGTTTCAGCGTGATATAATTATTTGCAGAAGTGTGAGTTTACAAGACAATTTAGATTGAAAAATCGTATATAGCATACTTGCAGTCGATAAGCATCTTGCGGTTTCGTGTCTCGATTACCAGGTGACACTCGGTGTATTAAATTAAACCATGGGGTTCCTATTCTTGTATCTATATCGTATTCAAAAATCTATAATACAAATAACACATATACTACAATATTTTTGTATGCAGTGTTTTTTAGAAATGAAACCACATACCCGCGAGCATCGCTCAGAACATACTAGCACCAGAATAAATACTAACAAAGAAGTATTATATTGATAATGTAAAATATTATACTTTTGTTTTCAGATTTGCTTATAGCATACATACAGTTTTATCAATAAATATAAAATATATTTATTGGAGAGACACACATACAGCTTTCTTTTTATTTTTAGGAAGTTGATAAATTTTTCATCATCATGATTCGAATGTTGCGATATATTGTTATCATTAAATATTATTTTATGCTTTCATCGTGCATTTTAGATAAAAAAGAACAATTTCAAGGATGCCATTTAAAATATTATTATGGTGTACATAGCGCTTTCCATGCGGTCGCTTTGAGAAAATCTTGAATAGCTTCCTCAATCTTCATTAAGTCCTATATGCCGTCATTGTTCTATAGCAGTTGGGACATTCGTAAATGACTGGCGTCAGACTGAACACGTTAGAACCATTTAGCTATGCGACGAGGAAATTGCGACGAGAGCACCTCCGGTGCGGAAGGAGTGTACAGTGCGCACATGGAACATATGCAGTCGTAATATGTAATGAGAATACGTCGGAACACGTATGTTCTCTCGGGAACGTGTTGACATGCCGTATCGGAGTTTCCTTTCATACGAATCACGCGAGATAGTAGAGTGTTTTAATCTTAATATTTCAATGTTCATAAAAATTTCATTATTGAAAGAAGATGCATTACACTTGAAAAAAATAGAACTTAAAGAAGATCTCTTGAAATAAAAATTCTATTACTTTGTCAAACGATGTTTTCTTAAACAATGTAACAAGGAGCAGAATTATGTAAAATTGATTTGTCTTCTCGCAAATTGCCTTGTAAAACTATTATATCTAACGTATCTCACGCGGAAATGGAAGATTCTCATTATCTTTCCCAAGGCCGTGCTGAAAGGAATATGCAATTGGATCGACGCGTAATGAATTTTCGTATACGAATGAAAATTGAATATACATTCGCGAACTAATTAAATAATCATATTTACTACATTTGCAATTTATTTTCTTTTGTCAAATTTGTAAATTTATTCATTTTTTTGTTTCTATGCTAATAATATATTGCAATAATCAATTATATTTCATTCGCGTGAAGTTTTAAAAAGGATGTGTTGACGTGAATGGTTAAATAAAAGAGAATTCGTTGAATAAAGATTATGTAACAAATAATACGTCATAGAAACAGAGTAACACTTTGTTATTTTTTTGCTGTAATTTTTACTAGATCAATTTGAAATAAAATAATAATAATTTACATTCTTTTTCATAGTTCTGATAAAAGTTAATTAAAAGTATATTTTTCACAAAAGAGTTATATTTCATTCCTAAAGCTATTCTTCTTTTTCTGCTATAAGTATGTCAGTTGCATTGTGGTTGAATTACTCCATTTTCATTTTTGTGAAAAATTTCTAATTATATTGAATTTATATGTCTTGCCAACGTCATATATATATGACGTTATATATATATTCTACTTTTGTCAAGATCATATCGTTCTTCTCGCTTTATATGTCACCGAAGGCAATTTTTCCTGACTTTTCAAATGTTTTATCACGTATGACGAACAAAAAAAAAGTCACATGGCTTTCAGAATTTCGAGATTTATTTGCACAGATTTTAAAAAATTGAGCTTCATCCGCGTTTTTATTGAATCTTTCCAATAAAACGGATTTTCGACGCGTAACGAATCCTATTTCGCCCTAGCGATATGTGACAAAAGCTGCCGCTTTCGATGCACTGAGAACGCTATATATGTTTTTATCGTGCCATAAAAACTTTTTATAGACGCGCGGTTTTCTTTTCTGTATAACCCATTTTAACTTCTCAGTTTAATTGCGAAACTAAAATCGCAGAAGCATTTTTTATGTGAAACATTAAAATTGTTACATCGTCTATAACTTTGCATTGTCGTACACAATAGTGTACAGTATCCTAGTGGTAAAGCATATTATTAACAGATTTAGTTAGAAATAGGTATTAGAAAATCTCTTGATTCTAATCCTACACTTTACACGTTAGAATTTTAATATCCTTACTTTACACTTGAGAATTTTAATATCCTTACTTTACACTTTAGAACTTTAATATTCTAATTTATAGCGTATTAAAATTCTAGAATGTAAAATAATGTGTATAAAATTTTTATTTATCAAAGAATCAATTATTGACAATGACAGATAAAATTTTCAATTGATAATAAATCTACCTATCTGTTTAAATAATTATCATGTAGTAAATAAGAGCCTCATTGCACGGAGAATTCTTTTAATCTCATTTTCCATTTATTTATAATATCATCTTAATTAGTCGCGTGTATGTCTCTTTAAAAAAAAAAGAACCAAAAATTGAAGTATAATTGGAAGAAATGATATTTCTCTAAAATATCATAACGTTTCGCCATACGCGTGTTATTTTTACGAATGTAAACTGCCACTTTAGTATCAAAAGATTTTCACGTCCGAATTTATAATATCATCTTAATTAGTCGTGTATGTCGAGACTCTTCACAATAAAGACAAAACCAA